GACACAGGGAGAGAGAGAGAGGCAGAGACACAGGCAGAGGGAGAAGCAGGCTTCACGCAGGGAGCCCAACGTGGGACTTGATCCGGGTCTCCAGGATCAGGCCCTGGGCTGAAGGTGGCGCTAAACTGCTGAGCCACCCGGGCTGCCCTATACTTGCACTTTTGAAGTAACCTCTATGTCTTGTTTCTCATCTGGAAAGTGGAAATCACAGCTGTCAAGTGAGATACTATAATTCTTTAGGAAGTGTGCCCTTTCCGAATCCACTTTTCCATTTGGGTTTCAAGAGGCTACCAAGTGAAGCTGTTATTTAATAAGTATGGAGTTTCTGTTTTGTGGGATGAGAAAGCTGTGAAGACTATACAACAATGCAAATATACTTAAATTTCCTAAACTATACACTTAGAAATGGTTATGGTGGTAGATTTTGTTATGTTTTTTTACGACAGTAAGAAAGTAGTTTTTTAAAAAGGCTACCAAGAGAGACATCTGAAAAGCTGTCCCAGGAGAGGGATGATGTTTCTGTAGCTCCTAAAGGAGAGACCCAGGCCATTGGCAAGCAGTGAGAGAAGCCAGTGGGAGTCCTCTTGCAATGGGCAGAAAAGGTTGCATAAGGGATGGTTCAGACCAGGTCAAGGGAAGAATTCCAGCAGGGACACTGTGGAAATGCAGGGGAGGACTATGGGCACAGGGCTGGCCTTGATGATTGCTAGGGTTCCTTCCAACTTTGAGAGGCTGGATTGGAGCTGAGTCAAGTTCAGCAAATGCTAGAATTTTCCATTCACAGACTATAAAATCTTATGATGATATATTTGAAGAACAGAAGTTTATAAAAACAACAACAACGGTGTGTGCTTTCACACTGTAGGAGAATATAACCTGGTCAACATTTCTGGTTGGAATCCACTGCTAAAAATGTATCCAAGAAAACATCTGGACAAGTGTAAAAAGCATGTCATTGCTCTTCGTAATAGCAGAAAACGTCAAACAACCTAAAATGTCCATTAAAAAAAGTGGCCACTTGATGACATTCAGAGGGAGGAGACACCACTACTCTAAGCAAAAGGGAGATGTCTGGGGAAGGATGTGAGACAGGAAGTGCAGTGAGCCGGAATACTGCTCCTTTCTGCTTCTCTCCACAGCTTTCTCCACTTTAAAATTCATGGGACAGACAATGACTGCCTCAGCCTAGACAACATGACCCCTGACTGGCTTCATGTTCCAGTCTCAATTCCCAGAAGCTGAGGGCTCAGCTTGGGTCAGATATCCATTCCTGAGCCAGTCAGCTCTGGGTGGAGGATGGGGTCACATGGCCCTTGCTTGTAGTTAGGCCCATCACCTACACAGGGGCTATTGAGTGATGGGCACCCTGGAGGTGTCTATACTCGCTTATCAGAGTCATCTAGGACCAGCTAGAAGCAACTACATCACCAGGCAGCTCTGAAGCTATGCAGAACCCACCCCACACCTAGGAATCATTTTAACAAGGTCTTCAGTGGTCGGTATGTTCATTAAAATTTGACAGACACTGGTTTATCACAAGAAAGGAAGGTTGGCTCTCTTTTGTTTGTTTCCTTCTTTCCTTCCTTCCCTCCCTTCTTCAAACAACTTTATCCCATACAGTTCACCTATTTAAAGTGCATAATTAGAATTTTTAGTTATGTTCACAGAATTGTGCATCTATCACCACAGCTGATTGTAGACACTTTCATTGTCCAAAAAAGAAACCACACTCTTTGGCTTTCATCTCCCAATTCTACCCCCCCAATCACCCGCCTTCCTGGCAATCATAATCCGGACATTTCAGATTTGCCTGTTCTGGACATTGCATGTAAGTGGAGTCATAGGGTATGTGGCCTCTTCTGTCCGGCTTCTTTCACTTAATGGAATATTTTCAAGATTTGTGCACAGTGTAGCATGTGTCAATACTTCATGCCTTTGTATGGCTAATACTATTCCAACATCAGGGCAGATCACATTTTGTTTATCCATTCATCTGCCTGTTCCACTTCTTGGCTATTATGAATCATGCTGCTAGGAGGATTCATGCACAATTCATGAGAGTGATCCCAAGCCACCATGGGAAAAGAAAAAGAACATGCTTTCCTGGCAATTACTCAAGCAGATTATCCAGTAAGTGAGATGACTAAACATGTCAGACTCACAAGTTCACTACCCTTATTCTAAGCACTTAGAAAATTCATCTAGTACCTTGGGTCTCTTCATATTCTAAGTGACCTTTTAGCTGTGTTATGAAATAATTCAGTTTAAAAAGGAAACATCCTTTTGAGAGTAATGGAACTAATTGTCACACTGGTTTTTAAATTAAGGTCAAATTCACAGAACATAAAATGGACTATTCTAAACTGTACAGCTCAGTATGCATTCAGCACATTCTCAGTGCTGTACAATCACTTTTATCTAATTTCAAAACATTTCCCTCACCCCAAAAGGGAATTCTGTGTCAATGAAACAGTTACTCTCAATTCCCTTCTCCACCTAGGTCCTGCCAATCACTGGTCTGCATTTTGTCTCTACGGTTTTGCCTATTCTGGAAATTTCATATAAATGAAATCCTACAAGAACCTTTTGTTCTTGTTCAACATAATGTCTTTGATGTTTATCCATGTGGTAGCATGAATCAGTGCTTCTTTCCTTTTTACGACTGAATAATATTCCATCATGTGGATATACCACATTTTGTTTATCCACTCACATGTTGATAGATGTATGGGATGTTTCCATCTTCTGCCGCTGTGAATGGTGCTGCTATGAACATCTGTTTACTAGTATTTGTTTGAATACCTATTTTTGATTCTTTAGGGTATATATCTAGGATAGAATTGCTGGAGTACATGGTAATTCTTTAGTGTCCTAAAAACATTTTTCAGTTTCCGTGTGTCAGGAATCTGGGCATAGCTTAGCTGAGTGCCTCTTCCTGGCATAGAAGGCTGCAATTATCTCAAGGTTCAACTGGGGGAGGATCTGTTCTAAGGTCATTTATGTGGCCTTGGCAGGCCTCAGGTTCTCACTGGCAGTTGGCAAGAGATCAGATCTTTGACATGTGGGCCCTTCTACTTGGCAACTAGAGTGGGCTGATTAGTATCCTTCCCTTCAAATTCACATCCACATGGAACTCAGAATGTGACCTTATTTAGAAACAGCATTTATAAAGATGTAATTAGGATAATATCATACTGGATGAGGGTGGGCCCTAAATACAATGATAGTGTCTTCATAAAAGGAGAGGACGCAGTGAAGAAGGCCATGTGAAGACAGAGGCAGAGATTGGAGTAATGCACTCCTTTGGGCTAAGGAATGCCAAGGACTGCTGGGAGCCACCAGAAGCTAGAAGAGGTAAGGAAGGATTCTCTCCTAGAGAGAATTCTCTTCTTCAGAAGGAGCAAAGCCCAGTAAACACTTGGATTTCAGACCTTTGGTCTCCAGATCAGTGAGAAAATAAATTTCTGTTGTTTTAAGTCACCCAGTTTATGATAATTTATTATGGTAGCCTCCAGGAAACTAACAAAGTACTTCACATTTGAATTGGCTTCCTTCACAGCAAATGAGGAAGAGAGTTAAGAGAGGTGCCCAAGATGGAAGACTAAGTCTTTCTGTCATGTAATTTCAGATATGACATCTCATCAAGCAAATCCCTAGATCAGCCCACCAGGTGGGTGAGGTGATTACATAAGATCATGAATACAAAGAGGTGGGCATCATCGATGGCTATCTTACAGGCTGCCTGCCACAGCCACCGCCCCAGCAAAAAACGGAGGAAACTTCTTCTCTGGGCTCTGCCTTCTCCATTCATCGATTCCATCAGCAAATATTAAACACGGGCAGTAGGCTGAGTGTTGAGGATATGGCCAATAATACAGATAAGATTCAGGGCACCTGGGTGGCTCAGTGGTTGAATGTCTGCCTTTGGCTCAAGTCTTGATCCCGGGATCGAGTCCCATGTTGGGCTCCCTGCGTGGAGCCTGCTTCTCCCTCTGCCTGTGTCTGCCTCTCTCTCTCATGAATAAATAAAACAAAAATCGTAAAAAATATATATATAGGCAAGATTCTTTCCCTTAAGATTAGTCTAGTTAGGGAGAGAACACTAAAGAATAATAAACAATATATAAATAAAAACTGTGATAAATACAAGAAAGTTAGTTATGAGACAATAGGAATATCTGACTTAGATTGGGGATAAGAATTAGGCAGGTTTTTTTTTTTTAAAGATTTTATTTATTTATTCATGAGACAGACACACACACACACACACACACACAGGCAGAGACACAGGCAGAGGGAGAAGCAGGCCCCATGCAGGGAGCCTGAGGTAGGACTCGATCCCAGGTCTCCATGATCAGGCCCAGGGCTGAAGGCAGGCGCCAAACTGCTGAGCCACGCGGGCTGCCCTAGGCATGTCTTTCTGATAAAATGTTGGTTTTTAAAATCTTTAAAAAAGATTTTATTTTTGAGATAAAGTGTGAGCTAGAGGAGACAGAATCTCAAGCCTAACACAGGGCTCCATCCCATGACCTTGAGATCATGACCTGAGCTGAAACCAAGAGTCAGCCACTCAACCGAGTCACTCAGGCACCCCTAAAATGGTATTTAGAGTGTGGTTGAAGAACATGTGGAAATTAGGTGGTGTGTGTGTGTGTGTGTGTGTGTGTGTGTGTGTGTTGGGAGGGGAGATTGTTTCTAGGTAAAGGGAAAGCACATGCAGATAACAATCAGTAAGTTGAGCTGCCAGACTCAGAGTGTAGGAGTTCTTCATCACTGCGTTTCTATTATATAACACAGTGCCTGGCACAGAGAGACACCTGATAAATTATTACTGAATTAGTGAATGGATACATCCAAGTCACCTTCTATTTCCTAATTGTTATGGATAATGTCAATTCATTTAGAAATTTTCTCCCAAAGTTCACTGCTGGATCACTGTTCTCATTTGTAGTAGACAGCACAGGCAAAGCTATTACAAAAAGACTCAAATACATAAAAGCTCAAAAACAATAAAGGTTTATTTTTTTCCTCAACAGTCCTGGGTGGATATACAGGCCAATGGAGCAGAGGTTCTCCTCTACTCAGGAGTCTTCTATCTTGAGGCCTTGCCTTTGCTAGAACCTTCTCATCGTCTTCCAGCCAGCTGGCAGAGTACATAAGAGCACCTGTTGACAATAGCATAGGCACGTGGCCACACCTACTTTAAGGGAGCTGAGGAACATACTGTAGGTGAACGGCCAACAAAGAGGATGAAAATGTCTGCAGCACAACATATATCCAATTACTTGACTTATCCTCTGGAATAGTGCACAAAATCCTCAAATTAACCTCGACAGAAAAAAGTTCTGGATTTCCCACCTTTACTTGCATCAAGGCTTTCATTCACTGAATGGCACCATCATCCCTCCAATTGCTGAGGCCAGACTCCTGGAAGTTACTCTTGATTCATTTCTCTTACCTTCCACATCGAATCCTTCAGGAAATAATGCCACCTGTACTCCCAAAACGTATCATAAATCCCTCTACTCCATCTTTGCTGCCACTTCCTTAGTTCAAGCATCAAAATAATCTCTCCTCTGGATTTTTCCTTTTTTTAAAAAAAAGGATTTTATTTATTTATTCATGAGAGACACAGAAAGAGAGGCAGAGACACAGGCAGAGAGAGAGGAGAAGCAGGCTCCATGCAAGGAGCCCGATGCGGGACCCAATCCCAGGAATCTGGGATCAGGCCCTGAGCCAAAGGCAGATGCTGAACCGCTGAACCACCCAGACATCCCTCTCATCTGGATTTTTCCAATAGCCTCTTAATAGCTCTCCGTGTCTCCACTCTTGGTTGCACATGTTTCTCTATCTAGCAGAATGAGCTTTCATTTTTTTTTAAACTTTTTTATTTATTTATGATAGTCACAGAGAGAGAGAGAGAGAGAGAGAGAGAGAGGCAGAGACACAGGCAGAGGGAGAAGCAGGCTCCATGCACCGGGAGCCCGACGTGGGATTCGATCCCGGGTCTCCAGGATCGCGCCCTGGGCCAAAGGCAGGCGCCAAATTGCTGTGCCACCCAGGGATCCCCAGAATGAGCTTTCAAAACATAACTTTGATCCCATCACTCTTTAGTCTAAAACCTTCCAATGACACAGAATAAAATCTAAAGTCATTACCATGACCCTAGGGTGTATGATACAGCCCCTCTCCAACCTCATTCTTTGTCATTATTTCCTACTTGCTCTGCTCCAGCTACACTGAACATCTTGCAGCTCCTTGAACATATTTAGCTTATTCCCACCTTGAGATTTTTTTTTTTTTTTTTTTTTTTTGTTCCATCCGCCCAGAAATCTCCTCCTCAGATTTCCAAAAGTCGGCTCGTTCTCTTTCCTCAGAGGTCTCCGCTTCAATGTTACCTCCCGGGAGCCCTTCCCTGAAAAGTCCCTGCATCCAGTTATTCTCTTACCTCATTATCCTGTTCGCGGTCTTCTTACCGTCTACAAACTCTGTGTTTCCTCCTATTTGCAGCTTAGCTTTCCTGAAAGCCAGCTCCACCGAGTAGGTACAGACTCCTGTCCTACTATTCCCCACGTGTCGAGTAGGCCTGGTACACGGTGGTGCCCACCACAGGATTGGACGAATGAAGCCCCACCAAGAGGCGATCTGCCCTAAGCTCCTTCGAGGTCCTCGCACAGGTTGTTGGTGTCGTGGAAGGAGCCCAAACGCGGGTTTCAACTCTGATTTGACCACGTCTCAGCTGTGCCCAACTGAGTTGGGCTCTCAGAGCCTTGATTACCTAATCTGTGAACGGGAGAATAAGAACATGCTCACCTCGCAGCGCCAAATGCCCCCTTTGTAAAGAAGAAACTGCTGCGGGGAAAGAGCCTCACGCAAAATCGACCCTCCTGATAGAGAATTACCGCTGCTGTTACTACACACAAGTCTGTTCTCTTACCGTTAGACCCGCCCGGGACCTCCGTTTCCTCTTCCTCATCACGAGCTGCAACCCCCGGGTCCTTCTCCCCCGGGTGTGTCTGGCGGCAGGAACCTCCCTCCGCGACCCCGGAGGAGAAAAGAGGCCCTCACCCCGCGGGAGCCGGGGAGCTTTAGTCCGGGGCCCCGCCCCGCCCCGCCCCCGCCCCCGCCCCGTCGGGGGCCGGACGCAGTACGTCATCAGCGCGGCGCCAGCACTGCGGAGGGCCCCGGGGCCTGTCCCGAGTGTGGCGCACCCTGAGGAGGCCCTGGCTTACGCCTGCCAACCAACCGCGTGGTTTGGGGGCGCTCGGAAACCCCAGCGGACGGCGGCGAGGGGCGCGTGGAGCCGTGGGGCCACGGAGTCGGGCGGCAGGAGGGGCGACCCGGCGCTCAGGCGGCACACAGCGCCGGCGGGCGGGCGGGCGGCCGGCGGGGCTGCCCCGCGCGGGTGTCCCGGCGATGTGTGGCGCTGAAGCGGCATCGGGAGCAGCAGCGGCGGTGGGTTCGGCCTCGGCTTCGCAGCGGTGCCGGCGGCGGAGACGGAGGCGCAGGTTCCTTATTAGGACCTGGCGAGCCCGGGCCTAATCGGCGGCCCCGCGAGGCCTCCGCATAGCGCCTTAGACAGGGACCCTCCCCGCCTCGCCCTGCCCCGGGAGCCTGCCTCCCCGGCCGGGGATGAAGCCGGGAGGCGGCCGCGCGGGGCCCAGCACAAAGGCTTGTCCCCGGGGGCCGCCGCCGCCAGCCTAGAGCTGCCCGCCGAAGCGCAGCCGGCGCCGGGGCCCCCATCCCCGGCGGTCCCAGGGGGCGGCTGCTGCCGGTCTCCCCGAGGCCCAGGGGCCCGAGCTCCGAGCCCCTTGCTCCCTCGGCTGCGGTGGGACCCGGCAGCTGCGCAGCCCCCGCCGCTCCCGGCCGTAGAGGCCCTACGGAGCATGTCCGAGGAGAGCGACATGGAGAAAGCCATCAAGGTAAGGGGGAGATGCCCCCTTCCTCCCCTCTTTGTCCCTGTGACATTCCTCTCGGCTCAGCCTCAGAAAGCGGAGAGAACTTGGAAGTGGGAGATTCCAGCGACTCCGGGTTTCGGGCTTCCCAGATTCGGTGGACTGCGTTGTACAGCCCTGGGGCGAATGGTGTGTGTCTGTGTAGGGAGGGATGTCCGAGTTCCTCTGACTCCCTCGGCTAAAGCAGGGATGTGATTTGTGCTCTTCTAAAACGGAAGGCGAGTGGCGTGGAGATAGGCTATGAGTGGGCCGGAGGGGGCCCGACTGCTCCACTCGCGATCACTGCCCCGGCGCCGCCAGTGTTTGCTCCCGGACGATCGGCAGCAGTACGTGGAGAGTTGGACTTTACCCATCGCTTTCCGTTTGAAACCAGCCTCCTGGAAACCTGCAGTTTCTGACGGAGTGGTTCGCCTTCTTACAAAACCTGTCTTTTGGCAAATGGTGTTCTTACTTTTGCACATGTTCCTCTTCCCCTTTTCCTTTTTCCTCTCCTAGGGAGCATTGAATTTATTGGGGAAGAGCTGATGGTGTTCTGTGACTTCTCTGTTAACAACCACAAAGCAAATATGTGTTCCAAAGTGACCCGAATAAAGTGAAAAGTTTTTAAAAGTCTGCTTTTTTGCCTTTTTTTTTTTTTTTAAACAGGCAAACTTTGAGCTTTACTAACAGAAAGTTGTCTAGCTGTGGCTAGCAGATTAGCGTCTTATGTAAGTTGAGCCCGAAATTTGATATGTATTATTTACTCATTTTGCAGTATTAAGTCAGTGCATTTAAGAATTTCATTTTCGCTTGCGGGGCAGGCATCCTTTGGCAACTTGGGCTTATTTTCCCCATCCAGGCATGGTTAAGAAGTTACGCTTCTAGGGATCCCTGGGTGGCGCAGCGGTTTGGCGCCTGCCTTTGGCCCAGGGCGCGATCCTGGAGACTCGGGATCGAGTCCCACATCGGGCTCCCGGTGCATGGAGCCTGGTTCTCCCTCTGCCTGTGTCTCTGCCTCTCTCTCTCTGTGACTATCATAAAAAAAAAAAAAAAAAAAAAAAAGTTACGCTTCTAACAATTTTTTGTATAGTAAAGTTTATAGAAATCATCAGTCATTCCAAAGAAACTTCACCTTTTAAAGGAGGCGTAAAAATACAACCTACATATTAAGGAAGATTAAATTTTAAATAATAGAAAGGTTCTAAAAGACTACTTGTTTTTTTTTTTTTTTCTTTTGGTTTGGATTTTATTGGTATGGGTCATGAATTGTTACCTAAAGTTTTATGACTGGGTTTTGAATCAGAGGATATGTGGCAGATTTTTAAGTTTAGGGATTGTCTGTGTTTTGCCAGGTGCTATCTTAGGCACTGAGGGTGCAAAGCCAAACTCCTAGATGTCCCTTCTCTCATGGAGCTTATATTCTAGATGGTGGAGTTAGGTAATAAACATTGCCAGGTGGTTACAATTAAGTATAAAAAGGATGAGTACTATTTTAGGAAGAGAGTCAGGGAAGGCCTCCCTGAACAGGTGACATATTGCAGAGGTCTGAAGAGAATGAGGGAGCAAACCACTGTCTCAGAGAAGAGAATTACAGGCAGTAGGAACAGCAGATACAAAGGCTCTGATGTAGGTACAAGTCTTGTGTGATCCAGGAACAGCAAAGTGAATGCAGTGGGTCCGTGTAGATTATGTTTTAGGGAGGTGATGAGAAGCTAGAGCACATAGGGACTTGTAGACTATTGTAGGAACTTTGGCTTTGACTTTGAGTAGCAGAGGAACTCTAGGGAGCTTTGAACAGAAGAGGGACAGTTTTTGTGGGTAAATATATGAATTGAGAGGCAATGTTACATTGTGGTTACCATAGTTTCTCCAGGTAGACTCTGGTTACAATCTCAGCCTTGCCATTCGTTAATTGTGTCCCTGAGTAAGTCACTTCACTTCTTTGCCCCGTAGTTTCCTCACTCATAGAAAGGAGAGAAAAACACTCCACAGCTCATAGGGTTTTTTGAGGATTTAATGAACAAATATATCTAAATGTGCTTACAATAATACCTAACATTTAATAAGAACTTGATGAATGTTAGCTCATAGCAACTGGAGAGTCATTTAAGAAAGTCATAATTTCTTCATTTGGTCATTATTGCCCAATCTGATTTACTTAAAATTTTTTTAGCTCTCCTTCATGTACTTGACAGGTGAGGCTTCCTCCTAGTTTGGGTGTGCTCAATCAGTACAAATTAGTGGAGTTGAAAATATCTGATCTGACAACCAGTACTGAATAGGCAGTGCTCCCTTGGAAGCAAACCAACATCATATCACATCGCATCGCATCACATCAAATAAAACTTCTCTTCTGTGGCATTGTATCGTATTCGTTATTTTGCTTTCTTGAGGATGTCCCTCCATGGAGAAGTCAGACCACTGGAGTTCAGCTGGAAAAGCTGTTTTCCTGGGCTCTAGTCAGCCCATTTAAACTTCTGTTGCCTGACTACCTAAGAACAACCTGATTAGACTTTAACATCTCATCCTACTACTCTTTAAAATTATTAGGATAGGGCCAAGGCAACAACCATAGGCTCTGTCTTCTCATTTCTGTCTCTTCTCCCATAGACCCATGACTTCACTATTCCTAAGGCACTTAGCTAAACATGGAGAGTGAGCATTTTGGGATTAGGGATTGTCTTACATATTCATCTTCTATTGTATATGCAGAGTTCTTAATATTTGATGAACTTAGTGAAACTTCATTTCCTTAGTTTTAAAAAATACTTTTAGAATTGCAGTATAATTTACATACCATAAAATTTACTCATAAGTGTATAAATATACAGAGTTGTGCAACTATCATCACAATCCAGTTTTAGAATATTTCCATCCTGGGCTTCTTTCTGCGTGGTTCAGTGGGCTGGGCATCCTATTCCAGGTTTCGGCTCAGGTTGTGATCTCAAGTTGTAAGGTTGAACTCCGCATTGGTCTCTGTGTTGGATGTGGAGCCTGCTTGAGATTCTCTCTCTCCTTTTTTTTTTAATAAATTAATTTTTTATTGGTCTTCAATTTACCAACATACAGAATAACACCCAGTGCTCATCCCATCAAGTGTCCCCCTCAGTGCCCGTCACCCATTCACCCCCACCCCCCGCCCTCCTCCCCTTCCACCACCCCTAGTTCATTTCCCAGAGTTAGGAGTCTTTATGTTCTGTCTCCCTTTCTGATATTTCCCCACACATTTTTTCTCCCTTCCCTTATATTCCCTTTCACTATTATTTATATTCCCCAAATGAATGAGAACATACACTGTTTGTCCTTCTCCGATTGACTTACTTCACTGCTTGAGATTCTCTATCTCTCTGCCCTCCCCCTCACATTCCATCTCTCTGTCTTAAATAAATAAATGGATAAAATCTTAAAAAATTTTTTTTCCATCCCCCCTAGAAAGTTCCTTTTGCTTCTTTGTCATCTGCCTTTATTCCCACTCCCCACTCCAGACAATCAGTGATCTGGTTTCTGTCACTAGTTTTGTCTCTGGAAATTCCAAATTAATGGAATTGTATAATACATAGTCATATGTGTTTGGCTTCTTTTGCTTATAATACTTTGAGGTTCATCTACGTTAGTGCATATATTAGGAGTTTATTTTTTATTGAGTAATGTTTTTATTGTTTATTCACCCCAGTTGATGGACATTTAGATGTTTCCAGTTTTTAATTATTATAAACAAAGTGATAAAACTTAACTGTAAAAAAAAAACTTGACTGTATAAGTTTTTGTAGAAATATTAATTTCTCCTGGATAAATACCTAGGTTTGGAATTACTGGGTATTACAGTAAGTTTGTGTTTAATTTTTTTTAAGAACCTACAAAACTTTCCAAAGTAGCTCTACCATTATTCAAACAAACCAGTAGTGTTTGAGGGGACTTTCTTTTGTTTTTTGCTTTTGTTTTTGTTTTCTCCTTTTTTTTTTTTTTTTAAAGATTTTCTTTATTTATTCATGAGAGAGACACAGAGAGAGAGAGGCAGAGACACAGGCAGAGGGAGAAGCAGGCTCCACGCAGGGAGCCTGACGTGGTACTCGATCTTGGGTCTCCAGGATCACACCCTGGGCCGAAGGCAGGCGCCAAACCGCTGAGCCACCCGGGCTGCCCTTGTTTTT